GGTTTGGGTGTGTGCCGAGGCAGGAGCACGCCTCTACAGAACATATTGGTAGCAGAGGATGGTTAATTAAGTCGAGTCGACCTCGTAAGTGCTGAACGTTCCACCTAAGCGCGGCTATGGAGTCTCTAGTCGAAGAGGACAAGGAGAAAGACAGCCAAGCCGCGGAGGACGGGAGCGCCAGCACCGAGGAAGCAAACCACCGAGATTAACCAGCGGCAGTAGCGAACAAGCACGAGAAGCTTAGCGAGCTGCTTAGAGAAAAAAAATGGTGGCTAAAAAATACTTCACCAACGCGCGCCGGACACTTCTCGTGCGCTCCATGAATGGCGGAGTGCGAGGGGAGCAAGCCAACGCCGAACTAGCCGAGCTAAGCTCCCATTATGACAACGCCGCCAGTGCTATAATGAACCTCGTCAGTTTGGACAGCTCAACCAACGAAGAAAAGCGTATGGAAGCAACGCTGCGGGAAGCGGAATTGCTCGAGGAGCAATTCACCACAGCAACCGAGAGCATTTTGGACAATGTACGTGGGCAGGTACGTAGTTACGCGGAGGAAACTGGCTACCTGGGCGTCTCACAGCGGCACCACCCAGTCCAGGCTCGACGCGAACTAGCTTCGGAGGTCGGGTACGGGTACAGCGGACCTGCCGCAAGCACTATGGCTATGCCCAGTTGGGCTGGTGCCCGGAGCTACCTGCACGCGCACGGCAGAAGTTCAGTTGAGGCCTCGGAGTCTACTGCTGCACGTGGACTAGAGTACGACTACGGCTACCATGGCTACACGTACGAGCCGCCGAGCCGGTCAGCCGGCGTAGAGCAAGTTGCAGACCAGCACCGGGGTACGGGGTACGGTCTTGCTGAAGTCAGCGAAGACATGTACAAGGCGGTCAGCGAAAGCAGACCGAAAGTCACCATGGGCACGGATGAGTCGCGACCAGAGACGTCGTTGGTCTAAACACATATTTCAGGTTTCACTGAGTTTTACACCACTACCCACAACGCCCGAAAATTACGGATTTTATTTAATTAATTGTTTTTGGAAGAATTTGAAGGCGAGAGACCGTTTTTGAGTGGTGTATAACTGTGTGAAACATGAACTGTGGCTACAGTGGAGTCTGCACACCCTCAGGAAACGCATTTATCTAAACTTACACTGCCCATAGTGTTCATCGTGGTCAGGTTAGCTGTGAAGCCTGTCACTTCTTTTACGCTAACCACTCGGGATGTGCTGGTGAACTTCAGACTGCTGCTAAGATGTCCTCCCTGGACGAGTAAACATACACACACACACACATACACATATGCACACATATACAAGCACACACACACACACACACACACACACACACACACACACACACACACACGGCTCACACACATACACATACACACACACACACACAGAACAGACACACACGCACACGAAGAACACACACACACACACACACACACACACACACACACATACGCAAAACAAAATGCAATCGGGTCATAAATACGGTGGAGGAAAACTTTATCCAAAATCATCTCGCGATACTGCCAACCCAGTGTCACAGGATCTGTGCAAGCGTGCATACATGCATGTATGTGTGCATGTACATGAACATATATGGTACCCTGTAAGAAGGCCTTAGGCCTGTACGAATGCCCTATTCAAAATTTAATAAAATAATAATAATAATGTATGTGTGCATGTATCTGTGTGTCTGTGTATCTGTGTATCTGTGTGTTTGTGTATCTGTGTATCTGTGTGTCTGTGTGTCTGTGTATCTGTGTGTCTGTGTATCTGTGTATCTGTGTATCTGTGTGTCTGTGTATCTGTGTATCTGTGTGTCTGTGTGTCTGTGTATCTGTGTGTCTGTGTGTCTGTGTATCTGTGTGTCTGTGTGTCTGTGTGTCTGTATATCTGTGTGTCTGTGTATCTGTGTGTCTGTGTATCTATGTATCTGTGTATCTGTGTGTCTGTGTATCTGTGTGTCTGTGTGTCTGTGTATCTGTGTATCTGTGTATCTGTGTGTCTGTGTATCTATGTATCTGTGTATCTATGTGTCTGTGTGTCTGTGTGTCTGTGTGTCTGTGTGTCTGTGTGTCTGTGTGTCTGTGTGTCTGTGTGTCTGTGTGTCTGTGTGTCTGTGTGTCTGTGTGTCTGTGTGTCTGTGCGCCAAGCGCATATGCTATTGGATGTGGAAGTGATAATCAAGAGTGGGGGATGGGAAAAATACGAAGGGAGAAAGAGAATGCAACGAAGACCCAGACACATACACACACCACTGAAGCTGTACTACAGAGTGATAGACAAATTGCAGAGACAACAACAGCACTAGGGTTTGGTTTTGTATTGTTTTTTGGGGTTTTTCACTAAGTTCACAACCTACTTGTCAGAAGGGTAGAAGACAACAGAATACACAATAACAAAACAGCAGGGTGAGTAGGGGCTGCAAAGCAAGCCTGTCCTGGTGAGGCAAGCCCACATCACCGACCGCTAACATGGGCTTGTGCA